GTGAGGCTCGGGGCAGAACAAAGTACAGCCCTTAACTCTCCGTCCTTCCCACCATTTTGCTCTCTTTGTCATGTTTTCCAGGGACCCTCAGAGCCTAGACCCGCCGGAGGTGAGCGACGCGAAGCTGCAGTACGCAGGCTGGGGCCCCAAAGGCCAGCAGCTGGTAAGCAAGCGCGTTCGCGGCCGCGTGCTCCCAGGGTGGAGGTGACGCCTTGTAGCCTGAACATATCTCACCGCTGGTCTGCGTGCATGAGTGGCATGTGGATAGCACAGCAGGGTTTCTGCACGTGTAAAACGTCGGTTTCTTTCCCGATAGAGAATTCTCTTAAAACTGGAATCGGCCCTGGACGTGGTCTCAGTGGTTAGAGTGTCAGCCCACAAACCGAAGGGTCTCAGGGTCGATTCCTGGTCAAGGGCACTTACGTGGGTTTCAGGTTCGCTCCCTGGCCGGGTCTGAGCGCATGTGGGAGGCGACCAATCAATGCGTCTCTCTCACATCAATGTTTCTCTCTGCATCTCTTCCCACTCTCCTTCCCTCCCTTCCACTCTCTCTAAACGTCAATGAAAAAAATGTCCTCGGGTGAGGAATGGAACCGCGTTTGCTTTGGTTTCCATGTACACCGTCCTGGGCCTGGTCCCCCGGCCCTGTGGGCGTGACTGCAGATAAAGCTCACGGTGAGGCCTGCGATGGAGGCCTGGCGCTGCTCACGCCGCACTGGCGCTGCTGTGGGAGCTGGCTCCTTTCTCTGGCGGGTTCGGTGAAGAAGGTAGATCTGTGGTCACAGTTGGGCTCGGCCCCCAGCCCTGGAGCAGCATCGGGTGCAGGATCCCAGGGCTGGTGACCTCTAGGCTCTGCACCCAATGCCCTCACGGTTCCTACTCCAACTGGCAGCAGGAGCTGTTTGCAGGCACCGAGGGGCGGGGGGCCTGGTGAGAGGCTCTGAGCGAGACCAGCGGGTGGGAGGGCCTGGTGAGAGGCCCTGAGTGAGGCGGCAGGGGGTAAGAGAGGGGAGGGGGAGAGGAATGGGGTTCGGTCCAGGCTGCCCACTGAGTTCCCGCGGGTCAGCTCTGCCACTGTCGGGCTCTGTCAGCCGGCCGAGCACTGAGGGGAGGACGGGGTAAGAGGACCTCCCACGTCTGCCCCCTCTCCAGCCCATATTGTCTAAGCCCTTTATTTCCAGAGATCATACTGCGCCTCCCCCCTTGCAGGAAGCCCCCCCACCCCGTTTTGAAGGTCACGTGTCTCGGTTGCTGCCTTCAAGTCGCCATCTCCTTCTGCATCTTGAAGCTGACGGGCTCAAGCTGCACTTAAAGACCCTTTTCCTAAAACGGCACAGAAGTGGGCCTTTCGGTGAGCAGTGAGCGTGCACTCGAGGTCCCGGAGATGAAGCCAGGACTGTTTCCCCACAGGGAGACCTCTTTCCTGGTTGCGTATTCATTCCACTGCCTCGAATTGATTTAAAGAGACAGGAGTATGTGGATGACAAACTATTTGAGCTGTCACCGAAGTGTCCCTGATGCTAACAACCTGGCAGCAGTTTTGGAAAAGCAGTTAGCTGACCGGCATGGAAGTGTGACGGGGCGGGGAGGACATTGGGGCGGACGCCGATCCATCACTCGGTCACGGCGAGGAGGCAAATCCACCTTTCCCGACGCTCCAACTTACGGAGAACCAAGTGCAGTTTCGCAGGAGTCGGTGGACATGAAGCAATTAGACCAGCGGTTCTCAACCTGTGGGTCACAACCCCTTTGGCAGTCGAACGACCCTTTCACAGGGGTCGCCTAAGACCATCCTGCATATCAGATATTTACATGACGATTCATAACAGTAGCAGCATTACGGTTATGAAGTAGCAACAAAATAATTTTATGGTTGGGTCACAACATGAGGAACTGTATTTAAAGGGCCAGAAGGTTGAGAACCACTGGATTAGACGGAGGCCAACAGCCAGGAGCTGGGCACACGTTCAGGGGTTCCCGTCCAGCGTGAGGCGGCTAATGTGATCGGGGAATTTCTGAGTTTTCACACTTTGGGGACGTTGAGGTTTTCATCGCGCAGCTCTCGTACTGAGTGGAGTAGACGCTGTAACTTGCCGCCAAGAGCACGTCCTGTGCGAAGGCGCCGGCAAACGTGTCCCGCGAGGGGCCGGGTGGCTGTTCAGGCTGGCGGGCCACTCCGCCTCCGTGTCCTCGACTCCGCTTCGCTGCCGTGGAGAGAAAGCAGTGGTAGACGGATCGACACAAGGGGAACGCATGTTCCGATAAAACGTGATTTACCAAGACAGGGGTCTGGGCAGCGCTGTGGTTTGCTGAGTCCTTGGCCATCTTGGCTGGGAAAGCTGTCCCAGGACCAGCTCCCAGTGGACAGGCCCCCGGCCACCTCCCCGCGGACAGGCCCCCCCTGGCCAGATCCCCACGGACAGGCCCCCAGCCAGCTCCCCGCGGACAGGCCCCCGGTGCTCCTTCTCTTGGGATGGAAACCCACAACCTGTGAGCAAGCCTCGCACACTAACAGGTTCCTCGCTGCCCTTTTATCCTAAAAGGTAACTACCTCGCAAGGGAAATGGACCTAGTTATAGCGAGGCCCCCTGGCCTGAGGGTGTCCCCCTGGAGCAGAGAGCAGCTGTGTGAGAGTCCACCACGGGCTCCGCGCACTGACCCTCCTTGTGCGGAGTGACTTCCGCGATGCCTGGGGCTCGGACCCATCACCACAGGAGGAAGGCACCCGGCACCAGGCGGGTCAAAGGCAGCTGCTCCTGGCCGCAGCGTGGCCTCTGATGAGTATCTGACGTTCAGAGCAGATTCTGTTGGGCCTTCAGATCACACCCTGGGTCGGCGGTGCTGCCCGGCCTCCGTGTGCTGTTGGGTCACCTGGGTCAGCGGTGCTGCCCGGCCTCCGTGCGCTGTTGGGTCACCGGGGTCAGCGGTGCTGCCCGGCCTCCATGCGCTGTTGGGTCACCTGGGTCAGCGGTGCTGCCCGGCCTCCGTGCGCTGTTGGGTCACCTGGGTCGGTGGTGCTGCCCGGCCTCCGTGCACTGTTGGAGGGGAGGGAGGAGGAACTTGGACACGCGGACCCTCGGCCCCCCTCGATGGTGCTGGTCTGTGGTCTCAGGTGTTCAGGATGGGTCTCCAGGTTCCAGAATCAGACGCTACCTACTGAGCCTAGAATAGGAGGTGGTTTGGCCGATGAAACGGGGTTCCATGAGGAAATACATGCGAATGGTGAAGGGATGCCACCCGCCCCTCCCTCTCCATCTGGAAGGAGTCAGTGCAACAGCGACTCCCACAGAACAGACGCTGTTTCAGACTTCTCTGTGTAGGACGGCTCCGTTCCCTCTGCCTGGACCTGCCTGCATGCAGAGCTTCCTCATGCACCTCAGTTCCGGTCACGCTCAGGGACGTCCCCACCCTCCCTTGCCCGTCCCCCGCCCACACCTCGTGTCCAGCACAGCGAGGTGAGGAGGCGGGCATTGACCCGAGTGTGCTCCTTTTTCTTAACCAACACTCGTGCGTCCTCCAGTCTTGACAAAATTACACCCAGAACTGAACCCACCGCCCGGCCACAGTCTCAATGTTCACCCCGCTCCCCGATGCTCCCTCAGGAGGTCAGCTCTCAGCAGAGATCCCAGCCCGGACCCTCAAGGCTGGCTCCTTCGGGGACTCACCAGGTTACCTGTTGTCATCAGTGAACCTCAGCCCAAGTCATCGGGCCCCCTCCCATCCAGCCCCCCAAGTTCACCAGGCCTCCTCCCACCCAGCTCCCCAAGTTCACCAGGCCCTGTCCCATCCAAGTTCATACCCAAACTGTCCACACCTGTGCTCTCTGGCTCCGTCATGGGCACCCTCCTTAGGGTCTGGACCGCCCTCTCCCCTGTGGGGTATGTCTCCGGCCTGGGACGTAACAGCTGAGGCTCTGAAAGAACTGAGTCCATCTCAGGAAACTAAACTTTACAAACCAGATTCTTATGAGCCTTTAGTCTCAGTGTGTTTCCGCCTCCTGCACAGCCCCATTCACCGAAGGAGGTGGTTTCTCTCTAGCATGCCACCCCCCCATCATGGCACAGCCCCGTTTACCAAAGGAGGTGGTTTCTCTCTAGCACGCCACCCCCCATCATGGCACAGCCCCGTTTACCGAAGGAGGTGGTTTCTCTCTAGCACGCCACCCCCCATCATGGCACAGCCCCGTGTACCGAAGGCTGACCCGTTTATTAGGCGTCATGAAGGATGAAGAAAACTCAGAGCTGGAGGTTTTCTGTACTCACACTGGGTCACTTAAAAGAAAAGAGAAAGGCTTTTTCTTTAAAGCCATTCACCGAAGGAGGTGGTTTCTCTCTAGCACGCCACCCCCCATCATGGCACAGCCCCCAGGACAGGGTGCTGACCCGTTTATTAGGCGTCATGAAGGATGAAGAAAACTCAGAGCTGGAGGTTTTCTGTACTCACACTGGGTCACTTAAAAGAAAAGAGAAAGGCTTTTTCTTTAAAGCACTTAGGTTTCTGCTTTAAAGAAAAATGTTTTTAAATAGCCCATTAATGTGAAAAATTCATGCTGCCCAAATGTCAATAATTCAGCGTGAGATTCGAGATGAAAGGGTTCTTCTTCAAGCTCCAAAAAGCTTTGCTCAGTGGGACAAAGGGCAGACGGCCCCAGCTCTGAGGAGGGGTGTGCTGTAGGCGTGGCGTCGGGAAAAGGTCAGAGCCCTGGGGGACCATCAGCTCCGGGGTACGGCAGAGTGCACACAGAAGGGCCAGGGGGTGCCCCACCCCCTGCAGC